CAGCTGCTGTTTGGCACACTGCCATAAATGGCTTACATGTTTTTCACAGTGCAACTTAAAAGCTGTTTTATGAGGCATCTTATCTATCCTTAATCAGCATATAAAATATATGTAAAGAACAGTTACAGTGAGATTTACACAGGAAAGCCATAAAATATTTATGCTACTAAATGAGTGCAGGAATGGATACTGGATTACCTGACTAAGGTTTAGGATTCAGACCTGAGTGCCTGAGAGTTTGAATGTGGGCAGTTATAAATTATATATGTTGGAATATTATGAACATATGTGAAAGGAACATACAGAAACAAACAAAACCAGGTCACTTCATTGCTGATGTTCCTTTTTAACCTCAGCAACTTCAAAACTATACATTTCATACCCTAGGAGCACATATTTGTGTATAATGTGATAACCTAGACATTTTTACATATATCTTACATGATTTTTCATGGTTTGCACCATGAAAGTGCTCAGTTGAGGTGTGAAGGCTGTTTACAAAAGCCCGCTTTTAAAATGCATCTGTAAAGGTTCCAGCCAAACCTTGTGCCTATAATGCCAGGTAATAGTATCTGACTAATTTTTGTTTATAAACTTGGACACAAGCTGGAGGAAAAAGAAGCTTTTTAAAGCTGGATAGTTTAGACTACTAAATCCACATGGGATTTTATCTGTGAATGCCATGTAGATTAGTGCCTAAATCCCAGAGGGAGGTGTAGCTCTTGTCATCATCCTGGAGTTTCCCTGGTGGGTAATCATCAGCAAGAAGCCTCATCTGAGATGCCAAACCCTCCCGCTTCACTGCATGGGGGTGTAAGCACTTCACTAGGGGGGTGAATTTGCCTACTGGGACCAGCAATTCAGATCTGCAGCATTTACTATGATGACATGCAAATTCTTTTGGCTGAATCTAAAATGTTGGACTCAGGGGGCAGCTGAGCTTCAACATTCAACTACACATAGTAATCCCTGTGCTGGGATTTTGTTATCCTCTTCTCCTTTTTCCTTTCAATTTTCATCTTTCTCCCCATTTACTCTTTTTTTTTTTCTTTTTTTTCCTTTTTTTTTTTTTTTTTTTTTTTAACCTGCCTGAAGAAATCTGGAGGCTTGAGCTGGAAGGTGCCATGAGACTAGTTGGTCTCTGCCTCAGGTGCCTTAGCAGGGTTAAATTCTGCTTATAAAATGAAGCATAATTTTTTTAATTTATGCTCCTCAAGTAGCTTGAATCTTTTTCATCAATCAGCTCAGCACTGAAAAATTACTATGCACACTCGCTTATTTTGTCAGTCTTATTATTCAATGGAACCTTAGCATAGAAATTGTTTCAAAGTAGAAAGGTTTATTTTGAACACAGTAGGTGATTCACAGGACAGACACTGGTTCATTTAGAAAAGCTTTTCTTTAAAGCTAACTTAGACTTGGTACTATTCCTTGTGTGTGAAGATTCCTGCCAAAACTGTGAATATCTAGCATTTCTGAGTAGCAAGTTACATCTGAAAAACAGATCCAACTGTGGTTATGGTCAGAAAACAAAACATAAAAATAGCAATTTCTATGTATTTGGTCATGTCTGCTTACTTTTCCAACCAAAATAAAGCTTTTTCAAACTTTTTATTAATGTAGGCAATCCAGAGCCAATATATCTTTGGTAAAATATACAGTAACTCTTTTATTTTTAGATACAGTTAGATTTTTTTTAGATATAACCATGACACATAACAGAATATTCTCACATAAAACCTATAACTTTGGTTACACTATTTAGTTCTTTAGTTTCTCTATGTGCAAGCTAAGTCCTGACATGGAATTCAGTTTAGAAAAGCTAAGAATGAAATATGATATTTGCAGACTTTTTCATACAGAATTTCATTTCAAGGTAAAATTTCATTGAGCTGAACTAAAATATGTTTCGGTTGTAAAATGCACAGGGCAAGAAGACACAGAAAAAGGATTATTCTACATTTTGCTGTATATGTAGCAGGACCAAAGAGCATTTTCAATTCCCAGATCTATATGCAAACCTTTGTGTTGACTGATGAATGTAGCATATGATTATAGCACCTATAGGATTTCTTCCTTTCTAATCTCTCTTCATTCTCTGGTCTTCCACTCTGAATACACTAGTTTCCACTAAAGGAAAATACGTAAGGATTATATAAAAGGTACAGGTGTTCTCCAGCAGGTCCCCAAAACTGGACAAACAAAGAATCAGGACTAAGGCAAAAATATCTATGCCTGTGGATTTAACTCTCAGGCAGTATACAGGACTGTGTATTGATAACAGGAATCCATGCAGATAAATATTTTATCCATTAGGGAGCTTCCAGGTATTCATGAGACACAGCAGAAACCCTCCTCCAGTTCAGGAGAAGTTTGACTACAGGCCAAACAGTCCCCCTTAGGGAAGTCAGTGGCAAAAAATCTACTTGATTTTAATGGTGCATGATTCTGTGCTTTACACAAAAAAGGTCACTCATCACATGCATGGACAAGTCAAATACATTTGGTTTACAGAATGTGGATATTTTGGGCTCAGCGTGGTGCTGTGACTTTTTTATTCTTGCTTACTGTTTATATTTATGTCCATCTTAAAGCACAAGAAGGAAAACAAAAACTGAGATATTCATATTCTATTATTTGCAGTGGACAAGGATTCCACATAAGGTCAATGGAACTGGGAATACAACTTCTATATTCTCAGGTTCTGCATCTCTAAGAGACTCCAGAAAAAAAAAGTATTATTTTTTTGGAGAAAAACAAGAACAGCCTCTAGGAAAAAACAAAACAAAACAAAACAAAAACAATCCTCTAGAAATAATTTTCATTCTTCACATTTCAGAAAGGTTTTGGTTTTTTGGTTTTTTTTTTCACATAGATACGTTTTTCTTGTAACACCAAATGCTCAAAATATTTTCTTCACAGACTCTCTCAACTCCTTAGAGTCCCCTTTCTTTTTCTTACCAAGACAGCAATACCCAAAATGGAAATTTTTGCTTTTCCACGGGGCATAAATAGGGTGAAAGAAGTATGAATATAAATATATGCATACATACATATAAATGTACATACATAGATATAAAAGCACATATATATACATATATATACTCATATATGTATTTTTGGGGAATAATGAAAAAACTGAATGCCAGATAATTTTTTTTTTTTTTTTTTTTTTTTTTACTTCAAAAACTTCCCCACTGTTAAGAAAAGCTGCTTATCAGCAGTTTGGGTAGTAAATCTGAGCAAGGGAATACTGTTTGGAGGGGACCCATTTATGTCCCATATGGCAAGGGTCCACATGCAAGGCTCTGATTTATTTGTGGAAAATTGAGAGGAACATTTTCCTGCTGCCTCTGTTTTTACATGCTTGTGCTATAGACAGTAGGTGGGTGCATGGGATAAAGAAATGGTTTAAATTAAGGCAAAACTTTTCCTGAAGTGTTTATTTTTGTACACCCACATGTCGGAAGGCCAGCCTCGTGACTTTAAACAAACACCAGTGCCATTGCTTCCATGAAGTTAAAATGAAGTGCAATAGAAGAATTGCAGTCATTTTGTCTGTGATGGAAGGAAGGACAAGTCTTGCTATGGACTGAGGTTAGCCTTCACAGAACAGCACCAGACAGCTGATACTTGACCTTTAGATTCTGAGTTGCCACAATTTTGGGGAAGTGGCACTTGTCAGATGGCCAAAGAGGGTGATGGAAAGGCCAGGCCAATGGCCAAGGGGAGTCACAGGAAGAAAGGTTAGTTTCCCAATTGGTAAATGGTCTTCCTTTGTCCCTGACACTGGGGCAGGAGGAGGCCTGCTGGAACAGCCATCGGTGACACTGGCAGATGAAAAGCTTGACACAAGTGTGCTTGACAGCAGTGTGCACTTGCAGCATGGAAGGCTAACTGTATCATGGGCTGCATTAAATGAAGGGTGGCCAACAGAGTGAAGAAATTGATTGTCTCCCTCTGCTCTGCCCTTGTGAGGCACCACTTCGAGTACTGTGTCCAGCCTGGGGCCCCAGCGCTGGAGGAATGCAGAGATGTTGGAGTGGGTCCAAAGGAGGACCACGCAGATGATCAGAAGGCTGGAACACTTCTCCTGTGAATAAAGGTTGAGGGAGCTGGGCTTGTTCAGTATGGAGAAAGCTCAGGGGAGACCTCAATGTGGCCTTCCAGTCTTAAATCAGGAGGCAGACAAACTTTTACGTGGGCAGATAGTGATAGGAGAAGGGGGAATGATTTTAAACTAAAAGAAGGGATATTTAGATTAGATACGTGGACAAAATTTTTTACTCAGTGGGTGCTGAGGCACTGGCACACATGGCCTGGAGAAGATATGGATGCCCCATCCCTGGAGGTATTCAAAGCCAGGTTGGATGGAGCCCTGGTAAGCCTGATCTGGAGAGTGGCAACTCTGCCTGTGGTTGGAGGTTTGGGACTGGATGATCTTTAAGATCCCTCTCAACCTAAGACGATCTGTGATTCTATGATTCTATGCTGCCTTTGAACAGGGTGAAGGGGCAGGTGGAGAAAGGGAGAGGTCACAAGGGGAGATGTCTAGAAGAAGGGAAAGATTTGTTCTGGCTGCAGGTGAGAGAGCAAAAGGGCTGCGGGCCAGGATGGAGAAAGGTGAAGGTCTGAGGGACTATGCAGCAGCAGGCAAGGACCCTGGGACAGCAGTGGGGGACCTGGCCCGTCCGGTACTGGCCCTGAACTCCGGGAGGGACTGCGGGAGGGACGCGGTGGGGGGAGGAGCGAGGAAGGAGGGAGGCAGGCAGCGGTGGGAACCCTCTGCCTTGGGCCGTCTGCGGGGCGGGAGGGGAGGCAGCTCCCGGGGAGGGGAGGGGGAGAGGAGGCAGAGAGGATATGTTGTTGAACAGTTTCTTACCGTAAGAGGGAGTTGGGACCCAGATCTTTCCAGTTAATCACACAACAAACTTAGATCATCGCAATAAAAAGCAGCTCGGCTTGCTCTGACTCCTTTAGTGACCGGCTGTGCACAGAGTCCTTCCGAGGAGCCATCTCCTCCCCGCCAGCCTCCGGGGGGGGCCGCCAGCACCATGTGGGCTACCCAACTCCTGCCAGCCTTGCTGCTCCATCAGCTGCTGCTGCCTCCCATCTCCATCCCTGCGGCAGGTTAGTTCTTCTATCACTTCTCTAGCGACATCCCCCACCCCTCCCCAGCTCACAGCTGCATCGCTCCCCTCTCTCCCTCTCTCTACCCTGCGCCCGTCAGCTCTACCTTAGCTGCACCAGCACCGGGTGCGGCTCGGGGTGAGGTTCTGGGTGCCGGTGCCCATCCCGGGTCGTCTCGGGACAACCTGTGCTCGGCGGGGACAAACTGGGTGGTGTAGAAGTGTTGCTGCTTCCATCACCTCCCCTCCCAGTGAGGGGCACTCGGGAGTCTCTCAGGACAGAGAGATCGGAGAGCGGGAGGAGGACGTTTCATCGTTGCCTATAATCAGGGTATGAGGAAACATCTGCCTATAATTTCCGAGTGCTAAGAGAAATGTTAATTTAAATAAATTGACGAGGAATACCCAAAGCATAAGATAGTATGCTGCTGAAAGGGAAAGCCCTTGCTAGAGTTCAGCAGCACAAACGTGCTATTTCCAGACTGAAGTACTTGTAATTTCATTAGACGTTCCCGATGAAATCCGGGAGCGGAGGGGGGGGTGAGTGAGGGGGGAAGGGACAAACAATAAGTAATCAAGTGCTGGAAGCTCTTTAGCTGAATTTCTTTCCTGAAGTGTCCCCCTTGGACTGGATATCTGGAGAGCTAACCCTGTGTTTCTATTGGCCCTCTGGGGAGACGCTTGAGGAAAAAAGTTTGCAAAGGTTTCTACAAACCTTTCCTTCCTTCCTTCCACCAACATTGTTAGGGTCAGACCTTTACACAGACAGAAACAAAAGGCAGCCAGAATTCAGGGAAAGGATCTGCCAGGAGAAAGCAGAGCGAGAGCAGGCACACACAGTGTCAGGGGCAAGGCTTGAGCGCACCAAGCAGAGGGTATGGCAAGTGATGTTAATGGCTTCTAAGATACGATTAGATTTTCTAGTAAAAAAGAATATATATATATACATATATATACATATATTTTTTTAAATATTATTTTAAAGTGGAATAGTTTTTTATCTGAGTGTGCAAAAAAATGCGTAAAATCAATGGGTAAAATCATGTGCAATAGACATGTCATTTTTCCCCTATAGTAAGAGTGCAGTTCTGTCAGGTGCTGAGCACCTCATGAGAGCTTTTGTGTTCAGTCTGCTCAGTGCTGATTGTTTTCATAGGCACTAGAAGCAGGTGAAACGGAGATATAGCCACTACAGTACTACATTTTTCTGAACTCCTTTTCCACATACATTGCAATTTCCATTCTATGGACATGTGACCTTTCAGAAAATTTGATGACTAGAGCTAGTTAGGAATTTTCTGAGGAAATATTGTGATGTTTTTTTTTTTTTTGGTTTTTTTTTTTTTTTTTTTTTTAACTGGAAAATGCTGACCCATCAAAACTTTTCCTTTTAGAAAGAAAATTTCTTTGGCCTAGCTCCCTCATATAAAATGAAAGAAATTTGCATCAAGAAACATTTACAATAGCTTGGAGTACAAAATGATGGTGAGCAGTTCCCACCTGGGATAGAAACTCATCAACTGATGAGCTTGAAAAAAATCAGAACTCATGTTACTTCATCTGACCAACTAGACAGAAACTGGTGTATGGCCAGGTTCATAAGAAGCTAGATTGTGCTTAATCCCTTGATGACTAGGACACTTTCCTTGAAAGAGTCCTTTTTCTGCCTGCCAGTAGTCAGATCTGTACTTTCCCAAATTCAATCTAATATTCTAATGGAAGAGATTGAGAGATTGATACTATGAGCATCAGTAGACTGATGATTATGGCTACATCCTAACCAATGGATTCTTCAGTTTAGTGTATGGTTCATCCTGATGTGAAAGGAAATTAGATTTCCTAAACTTCAGAATTTTTCTTGTAGTATAACTTGTTTTCTGGCCAACTTTCATAGTGACAGTTTCTTGGCAACACTACCTTCTTTAACTTTCCTTCCCCACCTACCTTAATATTAATCAATCCTATTGTTTGTGTTATGGACAAGAAAGATGAATCTTACCACACACTGCCATTGCAGTTACCTTGGTTTGTAAAAAGAGATGATCCTCAACAAATGTTCCAGGATTTTTACAATGAAAGGAGGGGGGAATGGTTTTGGATTGTTTTTACTGAAAGGTTTTCAAGAAAGATTAATATATCTCTATGTATTTATTATTTTTATATATGAAAAAGCTAAGTGATGAAAATAATCAAATATGTGTATAAGAACTATTTTGCTAATGCATTCCCATACATTTTTCTACTAATGTTCTATCAAAGTTGAGTTTAAATTTACCTAATAATGAGTCTTCTTTACTCTGTGACTGGATCTTTTAGGTTTGGCTACAGTGTCCTAAATTCTGTATGAAGACAATGTTTCTATCACTTGCAGAAATAAATTAATCTGAAGCTAATAACTTTTATTAGAATTTTCTTCCTCACTCATTCTTAATATTCAGTTTTCTTACTATTTCTTTAATAACATTAATCTAGTGAAACTGAAGCAAGATATGTAATGAAACTGGATTGTGTGTTGCAGAAGAATGAATGCTAAAGATTAATCTAAATTAAAGATATTTTTCTGCAAAAGACTGGCATCTGAGTGTTTCCTTACCATTATTTCTCAGCATTTTCTGTAGTTCAGATCATTTGAAAAGTTTATAATGAAGATGTGGGAGTTGCACTTAGTTCCTATAAATAACTTTTGCTTCAAAAAATCCCATACCAATAATCAACATCTGAAAGTTGTGTATTCCTGTGGTCTGCTTAGCTACGTGTATTTTAAAGTTTAATGTGATTTATACTTCCCCACCCCAGCTGTAGATAGTCATTATTCTATATACTGTCAACGGAGCAAAATGCTACTCTGCCAGTTGGAAGACTGTATTCCTTCTGTTTAATGGAATCCTTTTGGTGCTCAGTGCCAGGGGTTGCTTGTTTTGCTCTCGCGTGTAATACGCTCTTACCCTGCTTAACAGATTTTCTGTTTCTATTAATGCCATTTTCATAAGCAACCTAGCAGGCGAACTTAGAGTTGAAAGACATGAGATTAAAATGTTGCATAAAACTCTGGAAAATCGTGCACTGAAGTCAAGAAAGGAAAGCCTCTTATTGGAGGAGTTCATCTGTCATTATTGTAATACTTCAACTGAGGCCAGGGTTGGAAGGGAAATTCACAGACTCCCTCAGAGAGCATAATATCTCCCTTCTGGATCTTTACACTGAACATTAGTTTGCCACTTAAGCATTTCAAACTTTTCTAAGGAGATTTGAAAGCAGGATAACTGGGCCTCTTGATGGGTAAAAGCTTTATGTAAGGAGGGGAGAATTGCCCTGAACTTCTTGCAATTGTATGTCATGAATGAGTACTGGAATTTCACTTTCTCCCATCAGACTTGAGGTGGGAGTAGAAGGGTAGTGGCTACAAGGAAGCATAGAGATGAGAAAGAATTGATTTCCACACTTGCTTGGAAAGCTGGAATAGTAGAATTGGCATCCTCCAGATGTGAGCAAAGTTTGTTCATTGCAGTAAGAAATTAGGGCAGCTACAAAGCATTGTGAAGGGGTGAGGATTAATTTTCCCTCATCTCTTTTCCATTTCTTTTCTTTGGCAGTACCATTAGAGGATAGTAGAACTATTCCTGTATGTGATTAGTACCCACACATAAAGCAGTGTTGCAGTGAAGGAGAGCTAGGAACATGCTCCAGATTAGTCAGATGTTCTGGCAAAATCTAGCTACAGGAGATGGAGCTAAATGAATTGTGGGCCTCCACCCATGTGCTGCCTGATGTGCCTGGCCATGCCTGGCAGTCCTCAGTGCTGCTGGCACAGTGTGGGACTGGCTGCTCCATCCATCTCCCATCAGCTCCAACTCTTTCTATGACTCCTTGCTTTGGCCAGCAGCACATTTTTTATGTATACAACATGTAGCAAGGCTCTTGTCACTCCTCATGCCAGTCCGTCTTTGTTTTGCCTAAATCACTGTCCTGTCTGTGCTTTTCTTTTTACTCCCTCCTCCAAACCCAGACGCACTAAGTTGTGGCTGAGACCCCATTGCAAATGGAGCACATAATGCTCAGGGTGCCTTGGAAAAAAGCGTCACATATTTGTAAAGATTGTGGAATGCAATGCAAAATAGAAGGGATTTAATTCTTGTGCAGATGCATAGGAAGAAAAATCCTACAAGGGAAAAAGTTCTCTGTAATTTAGCCAGAGGTTAGATACAGCAAGTCAGAGTACAAACTGCAGACCGTTTGTTTCTGCCAATGGGTCTCAGCATCCTGCTGTGCAGATAACCTTTTCCTGGAAGAGAAAGAGCTGTCCTTTTGCATCTACCATCCAATTATAGAACATGCTATCAGTTGTTAGCGTTATCCTTTGTTTCTTGTGTTTTCATGCTGACTATAGGAGAGTTACAAAGAATGGACTTAGCAAAAACTTCAATTTGGATTCCAAAGAAATTGACAATCTTTGCAGCTGCTAATGAGGGATATATGTGCATGGGTGTGTATGTGTGTGTGGGTGTGTGACTGAGAGCAACATAAAGCCAAAAAGAAATATATTCTTTGCATTTCCTGAATCTGCTTAACAACTAGACTGAAAGCCAATATAAAAATAAGGAAAAAATTATCCCTATATTATATATTGCAAACTGCTTTCTAAAAATTGCAGATTTTTTTTTTTTTCTGTGATTGCTCTTTTGCCAAGAAAATAAATTTCAGAAGTTAAGAATAATTACATGATCCTCCAGACACCTTTCTGAGAAACTATTCAATTGTGACAAGCAAGAGATGACTTCTTGGACAGCTGGTTTTATTTTGGTGACATTCCATCTGTATAGCTTACTGCAGTTCTTATGGGTATGGTTTATAAACTTTTTCATGCCAAATTATTGTTTTATATAAATAACCACATTAAACTTAATCTGGCTTCTAAATCTATTCAATATAAAAAGTTATTTTCTTGGGCACATTTCAGAATTGTTTCAGTTGTTCATTTTATGTCTTTCTTTCCTTCTTTCT